ATCGTTTAAGGCTGTGTTTGTTGTGAGGCTAAATCATAATTTGTCCTTTAAGAGCCTTTCCAGTTCTTTAATTTTTTTTCTCCTCAAATTTAAGTGAAAAGTTAGTTAAAAACTTAGAAGTTAATTTTTTTTGATTTTTTAAAACTTGTTTTAAAAAATATATAAAAAAATAGAAAAGTAATGTCACTTAAAATAAATTAAAAGTCAAAATTTGATTTTTAACCATATTTTCAAATTGACCCATAATATGCTCCAATACCTTTTCATCAAATTTTACTAAGGTCAAGTTTGGTAAGTTGCTAAAAAACTAAAAAATCAAAAAGTTAAAAAGTTATTACTATTCATCAAAAGTCAAAAATTATGGTTGCACAACTCTTAGGCTTGGTTTGGCATGTCCTAAATAATACAAAAAGTCAAAAAGTCACTATCTTATTTAAGTCACATCATCTTATTTAAATCACATCACCTCTCTAGCACATCACATCAAATCCAACCCAAACCCAACCCATATAAGCCAATAAGTCAAAAAGTGCACTTTTTTAGAACATCCCAAACCAACCCTTAATACCAAATACACAACTCAAAACTCAATTCAATACAATTTTTTAATACATATTTTTCTATAAAAAGTCAAAAAGTTAACCCAAATATCCATATTTTTTTCCTTAATTTTTTAGTTCAAAAAACAAAAAGTACACTTATTTAAGACACTCCAAACAACCGCTAACTATTGAAAGAATAACTATTTCTCAAAAAATAGATGAAGAATAACTATTGAAAGATATGAAAAATGAGAAATATTATAGTACACATTTCTCAAAAAAATAAGTATGATATGTTTCTTGTAATTAAAAAAGAAAATAACATAATTTTATATTTTTTAAATCATAACTAAAAAAAATCATAACTAAACACCACATGAAATATAATAAAAAATTTCATGAGTTGTGATAGGGTTATAAGTTTCTACTTCCCGGGTGGATGGGTCGGACCGGTCCAGGCTCTTCAGACTCTGGCTCAAGGTGATGACTCCGTCAAGTGACCTGCATGCAAGCCCAGAGGGGAACGGGGTAGTCCCCCAGTGAACCCTCCAGTGTGACAATTAGTAGAGTAGGAGAAAAACTGTGTAGAGAGAGATCGAGAGAGAGAGATAGCTTAACCTTATTCTTGTCCTCCTATCCTTGCTTTTATTCTTTAGTTATCATTTTTCCTGTCTCTTGTGACGTGCTTTCCTTCGCCGAAAGCCTGTGCCGTAGCTTACCTTGTTCAGGGTGATGGAGGCTCTGTTCCGGCGGGGGGGTGCTGTCGTAATAAATGCTGTGATGGGATGCATTAATGGTGATGTGTTGTGATAATAACTCTGCAGATCTTTGTCTGCTGATGTGGCCCGTGTCCCACCTGCCATGTGCCCAAATGCCATTGCTTGGTGTCAATAGCTTTATAGACAACTCCATAGGTTCCTTCGCCGAGGACTTCGCGCTTGAGGTACCGATCGGCGACCTTCTTTGACAGTAAGTGATCCACTTCAGACATTGTTAACGTTGTTGTTGCTGTTGTTCTTTGCCGACTCAGGTATGAAATTTTAATGGTATGGTAGACTCATTGTGGACTCAGAAAAAGTCGTGGAATGTTGGATTGATTGGATTCCTCCATGAATTGATTGAGAGAGAGAGAGAGAGACAGAGAGAGAGAGAGGAGCGTTTCGGGTTGCTGGGGTGGATGGTTTTGCAGAGAGGGTTAAAGAAAAACGGCTATTTTCGGTGTGGGTTAATGGACTGATTCGTGGTTTGGAGATTTCGGATCCGGATTCACCCGGTTTAATAATTGGATGGATCGTTTAAGGCTGTGTTTGTTGTGAGGCTAAATCATAATTTGTCCTTTAAGAGCCTTTCCAGTTCTTTAATTTTTTTTCTCCTCAAATTTAAGTGAAAAGTTAGTTAAAAACTTAGAAGTTAATTTTTTTTTAATTTTTTAAAACTTGTTTTAATAAAATATATAAAAAAATAGAAAAGTAATAACATTTAAAATAAATTAAAAGTCAAAATTTGATTTTTAACCATATTTTCAAATTGACCCATAATATGCTCCAATACCTTTTCATCAAATTTTACTAAGGTCAAGTTTGGTAAGTTGTCAAAAAATTAAAAAGTCAAAAAAATTAAAAAGTTATCACTATTTACCAAAAGTCAAAAATTATGGCTGCACAACTCCCAATCTTAATTTTTTTCCTACACACTAATTTATATAATTTTTTAATACACATTTTTCTATAAAAAGTCAAAAAGTTAACCCAAACATCCATATTTTTTTCCTTAATTTTTTAGTCTAAAAAGACAAAAAGTACACTTATTTAAGACACTCCAAACAACCCCTAACTATTGAAAGAATAACTATTTCTCAAAAAATAGATGAAGAATAGCTATTGAAAGATATGAAAAATGAGAAATATTATAGTACACATTTCTCAAAAAAATAAGTATGATATGTTTCTTGTAATTAAAAAAGAAAATAACATAATTTTATATTTTTTAAATCATAACTAAAAAAAATCATAACTAAACACCACATGAAATATAATAAAAAATTTCATGAGTTGTGATAGGGTTATAAGTTTCTACTTCCCGGGTGGATGGGTCGGACCGGTCCAGGCTCTTCAGACTCTGGCTCAAGGTGATGACTCCGTCAAGTGACCTGCATGCAAGCCCAGAGGGGAACGGGGTAGTCCCCCAGTGAACCCTCCAGTGTGAGAATTAGTAGAGTAGGAGAAAAACTGTGTAGAGAGAGATCGAGAGAGAGAGATAGCTTAACCTTATTCTTCTCCTCCTATCCTTGCTTATATTCTTTAGCTATCATTTTTCCTGTCTCTTGTGACGTGCTTTCCTTCGCCGAAAGCCTGTGCCGTAGCTTATCTTGTTCAGGGTTCCACGACATTTGTAATATTTTAATTTTAATCAAAATATGTGTTATTATCTTATAATTTAAAAGGAAAATATTTGAAATCCCTTTTGGAAATAATTCTCACACTCCCAAAATATTTGAAATCCCTCTTGGACTTACTCATGTGTGTGTAGGGTTTATATCATGACTGGTTCAAATTTGGAAGGCCTTATCAGAGTACGAATCTCAATCATTGCTCAATTTAAAAATAAGAACCATACTTCTTTCTGGTCTAAAATCATATTAAAGCGTGCTATTAGGCTTTGTAGACCCACCACAAAGTCTACATCAATTATCTGCACTGTTCAATATTTAGAAGTTATCAAGTGCTTTATTCTTACAAAAAATTATGTTAATCAAATATCAATAGCATCTTGATCAAATCAAATCTGTGTTGATGGAAATTATGATTTTAAAAATAAATTATTGATACAAATATAATCTGATCAAGTGGTTATTGATATTCGATCAACGCGATTTTTTACAAGAATAAAGTACTAAACGAGTTCTAAATATTGAACGGTTCAAATAATCAATGTAAGCCTACAGAGACCCCACATAACGCTCGAATTGAGATACTCAGCTGGAGACGAGCACTGTCCTAAAAATAATAAAAATATATATTATTATCTTATGATTTAAAAAATTCCATTGATACACAACTTCAAATTTGTTTTCTATATAAATGATGTGCCTAGGTTTGAGGTTGCTTATTTTATTTATTTATTTATTTTTGCTTATTTTCGTCTTTAGTAACTTTTTTTTAAAAAAAAATTCAAAAAATTTTAAGCATGTAGATTTAGCTCGACAAAACGAATTGAAAATTTTTTAAAAAAATGTTTCAAATTTTTTTTTTTGAAAAGACAAAAATAAGCAAAAAATAATAGACTTTGGCATAGTTTGGGAAGTTGGTTTTGGTGGGTTAGGGGCTAAAATAGCCACAAAAAATAAAATAAGCTATTTTAGTCACAAAAAATAAAACATCAAATCCAACGCATAATCATTACACTCATCTCTCACAAAAAAAGTCAAAAAAGCCAAAAAGTCAAAAAGTCATTCCCAAACCAGGCTTTTTAGCTTCAGGCTAAAATAACCAAAAAGTCAAAAAGCCAATCCACTTTCCAAACGGAGGCTTTTTAGACTTGTTTTGGCTAATGTACTTTTTAGATTCGTTTCGATAATTCAGACCAAAAAGATAAAAAAAATTTGACATAATTTAAAAAAAATCACTAAAAATAAAAAATCTGCGACTTTTTTAAATGTTGCCAAGCCTCCATCTTCAACTTTTTTTTTTTTTTTTTTTGTAATTTTATTGGACCAAGATAAATATAATTTTTATATATTTTTTTAAAGATCTTAGAGAACAGAATTTAAAATAACATAAGAATATGATTGTGAAACTTAAAACTTAATTTAATTTGATTTGATTATAAAAATATCCGGGTAATGCTAAATTTTAAATACATTTAATATGGATCCTTCTAGTAGATTAGATTTTAGGTATAACATTAAATGAATGTAGTTACCATAATTTGACTTCTGAAACCATTGACGCCAAGGACACGCACCGAATTCAACTCCAAAATCTAAATCAATAGTTAAATGTGTCTTCACATTTATAGACTTTATATTACTTCTGTTAAAAAAAAAAAAGACCTTTATATAACTTTACTACCTTAACGATGAATCAATAGTAAATGGTACATTAGACAGGAAATGAACTATTTTACTTTTGGATTTCACTCTAATTTCTAAATAAACATTATTAATTGAATTAAATTGACATAATGTTAAAATTCAAGAGTAAATTTGATTCAATCAGACAATAATGATCAAATTGACAAAAACAAACTACAAAAATATTACAAGTTCATTTACCCCCCCAACAAAAAAATAAAAATAAATAAATAAATAATGAAAAAGCAGTCTAATTTTTATTTTGATCTTTCTTTCACAAGTCAAACACGTGTGCCTTCCATGAGCTTTCTCTGATATAGATTAATTGACCAACAATTTACTTTTCAAAACATAAATCAGACTCATGAATCTCTCTATAAATACAACTAAAAGGAATGCTATATAGTTATCAAAATAATGGGAGGAGTGAAGTTGATAGGTATAACCACAAGTTTTCCCTGTGCCAGGGTTGAATGGGCTCTGAAGCTAAAGGGTGTGGAGTATGAGTTCATTGAAGAAGATCTAATGAACAAGAGTCCATTGCTTCTCAAGTACAACCCTGTTCATAAGAAGGTCCCAGTGCTTGTACATGATGGTAAGCCTATTGCTGAGTCACTTGTCATCCTTGAGTATATTGACGAGACATGGAATGTCAACCCTTTGCTGCCTCAAGATCCATATGAGAGAGCCATGGCTCGTTTTTGGGCTAAATTCAATGATGAGAAGGTACATATGAATTCAATTTCTTGAACTTTTGCTTTTAATTTGGTTCTATTTTGTGCTATGGTTTTGGTCATGGCTATGTTTGGATCTTGAATCTGAATCGATTTGCAAAGACCAAAGAAAAGCTTTTATATTTCTGAATTCAAGATCCGCGTACAGTGTTGAATCTTGAATTTGAAAAGAAAAAGTAAAAGAGTTTGTACACTGTGATTGTACATAAAAAATTTACCTCCATATTCACGAAGAATGTTTATTTTCTCTTCTATTTCCTTTTTCTTCCCTTTCAAAATTAAGATCCAGACATTAGAAAAGAAGGAAAAAAACAAGAGTTTCTTTCCCAAATACCAAATTTCAGGTGAATAATTAATCAAACGTATAATCTAAATACCTTCATAATTTATGTAATTTTAGGCTCCTAAATGTGTTTTTTTCTACTTTCTCTGTCCAGTGTGTCCTTGGTGCATGGAACACTTGTAGTGCTGAAGGAGAAGAAAAGGAGAAGGCAATAGAGTCTGCAAAAGAATCATTTGCCTTTCTTGAGAAACAGATCGAAGGGAAAAAGTTTTTCAGTGGAGAAAATATTGGATTTTTGGATCTAGTGGTCGGTTGGATCCCTATTTGGGTCAGTGCCATGGAAGAAATTGGAGGCACGAGTCTTGTAAATGCCGCGAACTTCCCTTGCCTCCATGAATGGGCTCAAAACTTTGTCCAAGACCCACATATCAAAGAATGCTTGCCGCCAATAGAAAAGATCGTCAACTACATCCAAGGTGGTATCAGCTACCTGCGTGCCTTAGCTGCCAACAAGCAGTAATTTTTTCACTTCTTGAAAAAATTGAATCCGTGGTTGCTTGTGATTTGATCAATCGAATTCCTAAGATTGGTTTGTGTCCTCTTTGTTTTTTGTTGTTTGTTGTTTTCCTTTTCGGTTTTGTTTTTGGGTAGTGATATTGGCTTGATGGGCATATTTGTGTCTTACATCAGTGGACTGTTATAGACTCTAATAAGATTTCATCAATTGTGATCCTCACTTGAAGCTTTAAACCTTTGATTTTTGAAAATTTTCAATTTTTTTTTTTTTTTTTTTTTTTTGGTTTTGGGCATAAAAGAAAACTTCATTAAATTAAGATTGAAATTTTTCAAATCTTGATTATTCTCAAGCTAATTCATATTCACATCTACCTCAATTAGAATGAGTTTTCTAACCAAACAGATTACAATGGCGAAAACTTATGCTACATAGACTCGTGTACGAGTATGGGGTGCGGGTGTATCCAAGCGTCATATCTTCATAAATTTAAATCTTAGGATCTTGGATATGTATTTAAAATTAGATGTGGGTATGGAGACGCGTTATATATACATATATTTCATATTATATAATATTTTTATATGAGATGTTGTAAATTATGTAAAAATATATAAGACATTAAATAGGATTAGAAAAAAATATGAAATTTCTATATCTAATTCATGTGAAAAGTTAAAAATATTTCTTTACTAGCAAATGTGAGTTTCGTCTTCTTCATGTATTGTAATTTGTAACAAATTAAATGATCCAAGTGTCTAAATTGGATAGAATGTCAAACACATATCCCACACCCTTATCCATGTCATATCTGGTGGACACAGGTACTCTAGGGGAAATAGCAGAGTTAATGTAACATAGGTATGCAAACTAAATTCACAACCAAACCAAACAGTTGAGACGAATATCAATCCAGACATTACCATTGTTTACTGTATGTGCAGTGTTTATCAGCAAAATGACCAAGAAACATGTATGCACCAGGAGAATTCTCAAATAGTTCATTAAACAATATGAAACCAATGAGTTTTTTGAATTTTTCGTTATTTTAGAATTTAGTATGTTTCAGAAAGCGGATTGTGAAATCGAAACCAAACAAAAATAGTGCACCTAATATATAGCTTCAATATGCATGTTGATATTTCAAAGTTTCCATTTCCTATAGCTTGGGAAAATGTTTTAATTCAATCCAACGTTCAATTAGAATCGAGTTCAATGTACTTGTTGTAGTGTATCAACTACTTTACATGCCTCAGAGAATCTACTTACAAGTACATATAGCCTTGGAAGAAATCAGTAGCTCGCGATATGGCGACAGCGGCACCAAAAAGCAGTCCCTCCACTTTTGCCTCGAGCAACAGCTATTTCCTCATCAATGTAAAACCAGATGAAGAATGGATCTTTGGTGCTTGGCTCTCTCTCGTCTTTTCCTCCAAACTGTATTTCGAAAGGGTTAAAAGGTCCGATTTTTATACGGACGCGCTCAAATATGAAAGCAAGTATTCTATTCTTCCATGAAAACCTTCCTTCAAACGTTAAACGTCCAAGTGGTCCCACATAAACTCCGTTCTCAATCCTCTTTGCCTGGATCAAGATATGTTAGCCTCCAAGTTGATAAAGTAAAAAATACTACTATTGTCTCAGTACATTGTTGAATATCAGGCATCTAAAACCTCCTAGACAAGTATACAATGTAGTAGACAAGCAAGAAATTCTCAATCGTTGCTTTCCATACTCCAAAGAGATGCTTTAAGTAATAGAGATTTGCAGGGAAAAAACAAAGAACAAGTGAAACTGGAACCATTTTTAAAACAATGGGTAGAAATATAGAGACTAAAAACAACAAACGATGACAATACAGACAACAAACGTTCGTGAACAATAAACATGAATAAGAGGCCTCGTTGAGGACTACAATACAGATTGTACAGTTAACATTTCACTCTAAGACCTAAAATCAACATGGCCGAATAAATGGGAAGAGATTCTGAATTTTCACCTACAAAATCAAGTTTTAAAGGCGGTTGTAAATCTTTAAAGCCATGCCCAGAATTACATCATGGAACGATGACATTGAAAATATCCTTCTTTACTGCAATCATTTGAGTAAGCTCTTTTCTTTACAGGGTCCATGTATAGGTTCCAATCCAATAATATATTCAAGCAACTTTATGATTAGAAAGTCATTCCTCAAGAGGCGCAAGCACACGGTGCATGCTTAAGTTAGAAAGAGTCATTTGTAGCTGCAACAAGAGCATTCTTAAAATGAACAAACACGACATTTTTAAACTCCCAACTTTTTTTCACCTCTAAAACATAGATGTGTGAAAACACCCCAAGTTTAGAAGCCATTGCAAGCAAAGAAAAAAGACATAAGAGTGCTTACAGCAGCATCAAACCTCTGAACAGCTGTGATGGGGAAGTATTTACCACTCTTTAAACTATTCTGCAAAACATTACAGATGCAGAATAAAGCATTGATCTTTTGTGAAAAGGTCAAGGGATAAATAAGATCATAGAGAAAGAGGAAGCAGAACAAGAAGGGGAATCAATTTAACCTCTGCAGTGAAAATAAGCATCCAGGTTCTCCCAGGTGATTTAGACCCGCCAAGAGTCTGAAGAAACCCCGAGCGATTGAGTTTTGCCTTCTCCATCACAGAGAGAGCAGACAGAACCTCCTCCGGTGCAACCCGTCTTGTTTTAGCAGCATTTTTGAGCAATTTCACACACTCCTCTACTTCCTTGACAACATAAACAACATGGTTTAGACTAACACTACCCAAAAGAAGGGTGGGAATGCATCCATTCAAGAAATTGTTTTCTGAAAAATACAAGAAGCTAATTTTGAAGAAATAAACACCAAATGATGTTTTTCCAAATTCAAAAACTAATTTTTCACAAAAAAGAAAAAACAATATGAAAATATGAGTGTTTTCGAATTTTCATTTTTTAAAATAAATTAGTTTATATTGTTTTCCAGAACTGATTCCTAAAACAAAACCAAACCGAGCAAATGAAGTCCTAATGTTGGTCTCAATCAGCACTTTCACCAAGCAAGAACACCATAATTGATATGCAATACCCAAAAAATAAAAATAAAAAAACAAAATTATAAGCTTCAATATGTGACATAAAAATTTGAAGTTGGTCTCAAACAGCACTTTCACACTCTCATTGAGTCACTAAGCAAGAACAGCATAATTGACATACAATACCCAAAAATAAAAATAAAAAATAAAGGGAAAGTAACGAATCTATAGATGACACTGAAATTCAAATCAATTGAGCAAATGGTCAGAACTCAGAACTGAGAAACCCAAAAACAGATACAAGGAGAGGAGGAGTACCTTGTTGGGTTGCTGTTGTTGTTGTTGTTCTTCTTCTTCTTCTTCTTCCTGAACAAGAAGACGACTACTGGTTTCTTGGTCTGTCTCACCAAGGGTAGCTCTGACCTTTGCTGTGGAGAGCCTTAGGTGATTGGTATTTGTGTCAGTGAGCTTAAGATGGAGATGGGTTGTGAGAGGAAGTTTTGAGGGTTTGAGGAAAGATCCAAATGAATTTGGGATGACAAAAGAGGAAGGTTTTGAAGAGAACAAATGGGTTGAGGCAGTTGGTGATCCCATTGAAGTTGTCCTGTGACAATTGGGAATTTTTTCAGTTGGATTTTTGTGTCCATTCTTTCTTGATTTTCTTGATGAGTCATTTCATTATTGTGGATGCATTTTGCCCAACCATTAACAATCTAATCCACTCTCATGATTTTCTTGATGGGGCTTGTGGGCGTTCGTCAATCTTTCTTTGTGGGTTTTAGTCCGAATTTTTATTTTGTCGTTAGTGATGTTTTAAATATTTTTTTCTGTTGCCTTTTAATGCGTTTCTTTTAATTTTTTAAATTTAGAGATTTGGTGAAAATTTTATTTTGATGGATTTGTACTCTATTTGCTTCATAACATTTTTTCCAATCTAATAATATTTAAAAGTGATTTTTCTTATAAATATAAAAAAAAAAATACAAAGAAGTCCACAAAATAAATAAATTTTTTTTTTTTTGAAAACAATTAATTTCTTTTTGTATGGGAGGTTGCTTTTGCCATTTTTTTTATAGAATTAAAGTTATAATATTTTAAAATATAGACAAATATATTTAATTGTAGGGGAAATTACTCATAAATCCCATTTTGATAAATGTTGCTCTGGTTAGTCCTGAATATTTTTTATTAAACCATTTAGTCTTGTTTATGATTTCTCTCCCTTTCGAACATCAACAACATCAACTACATCATCACCATCAACAAACATCAACTATATCACCAACGTCACTAAAAAAACATCATAAAAAATCAACCGTATCCAGAGAAACCCAGGTTCGATTTTAATGGTGTTACAAATAGATATTATTCAATGATGTTTAATCTGCTTCAAGCCTACCTCCTATCCACCATCCCAACCTTCCCTTCCACCTTCATCTCTACAAACTCCTCCACCGTATCCAGCACCAGCCTCATCGCGTCCACCGATTCCTCTGCCGCCACCGCGATCTCCGCCCTCAGCGTCACCGACTCCTTCCTCTTCGCCAACAGAAACCTCACCAATCCCTTCGAATCCATCCTCCGGCAACACATTCTCAACACCTCCGACAAACTCCTCTCTCCTCCGCCGCCCTCAGCCTTCTCGATTATGAAGGCGGTGGAGTACGAGGCCTCATCCCTACTCCGCGAATCAGATCTGGGTTCCGAACCCGTCTCCCTCTCTCTATTTCTCATAGAGCCGATCTGAGATGTGGGTTTTTGAGATGTGTTCCGAATCAGATCTGGGTTTCGATCTGAGATGTGTTCCGAATCAGAGCCGGGTTTCGATCTGAGATGTTTTTGATGTTATGGTGATTTTTTTTTTTTTTTTTAGTGAAACTTCACAGAAACGTCTCTTTTGTTTATATTTTTCATTCCAAAATCATTTTTTTTTTTCAAGCTATTTTCTTATTTGGTGTTTGGTTCGTAGTGGGTGACAGGGGAAATGGCTAACAATGTTGTGACTTGACTTGTTCTTCTTTATAGAACAGTGATGTTTGATCAGGAAAAATTGTTTAGTTTGACGGATGATTTTTAGTGTTTGTTTGATGATGTTAATGCTGATATTTTGATGATGTTTGTGGGTGTTTCACGATGATCAGATTATCAAAACATCATCAAATCAAGAACACCCAATAGGTCCTAACATCATCAAAAATGTTTGATGATTAAATTTTTTGTTTTGGTGTTCGATGTTTTAGCATCTGTGTTTGTGGGTGTTTGAAACATCATAAAAAAGGTATATAATCTGATGTTTGTTTGATGATTATAATGTCTGATGTTGATGATACCCAGATGAACACCCACAAACATCGGATGAACACCGTTAAACATTAGGATTATTTTAATCGTTATTTTGATGTTTAATCGTTATTAAAAAAATTGTTTAATCATTATTTTTGATGTTGTTTTGATGATAATGTTGTGATGTTTAGTTTCAATTTTTTTAAAAATAAATTTGATGTTTTAATGTTTGATGAATAATGTTTGATGCTTGATGAATAATCTTAATGTTTAATAGTTGTGTTTGATGTTTGATTATAATATTTGATGTTAGATGAATAATTCTAACATTGATAACGTTTTTACCGAAATTATACGAATAATTCTGTCGTTGGTAATGTTTGATGTTTGATAAATACTTCTGACGTTACTAATGTTTGATGTTTGATAAATACTTCTGACGTTACTAATGAATAATGTTTGACGTTTGATGAATAATGTTTGACATAAAAAGGCCTATAGTAAGCTTTTAGAGAAATAGGACCTATTAGTCCAACAAAAAACATTCGGGACTAAGTAGATTAACATTTTCAAATTTGGGATTTATTGGTGCTTTCCCCTTAATTGTAAAATTTTCAATTGTAAAATTGGGATAAATATATTTAATTGTGCGTTTTGAAATTATAAAATGAAAGTAGATTTATTTAATTATCATTTTTTTTCTTTTAAAATTTCGTATTCAACATTGATCTTATTTAATAATTAAAAAAAATTCAAATCTAAATAAATTAATTTTATTAAAAATGAAATTATAACATGTTATTTTTTTTTTTTTTTATTTTTTTTTTTTATCATAGAATACATATAAACGACAAAAATATCATGAAGTATTTTTACATTTTTCATGTTTGAATCTAAGAGCATTCACAGTGGACTTGTTAGTGTCAGTGGCCAAATTTTTAGCCAGCCACAGTGACTTTTGTCTTCACAATGGAAGTGTTAACGAGTGTGTTAGTGTCAGTTATTAAGTTGTGTGTTAACTGCAGCCAGCGATTTAGCTAGTGAGGGAGAGAGAGAGAGAGTTGTGTGCTTGGCAAAGTCCTCCTAAATGTTCGGTCGAAAATCCCCCTGGACGTCTCACCGGAAGTTCAACCTAGATGTTATGTAATTTTTTTTTTTTTTATACTTGTTGAGATTTTTTTTGGGCTTGAATTTTTTGGTTAAATTAAATTATTTATTTATTTTATTTGTTATATATATATATTCTTAACACACCCCTTAATACATACATCAATTGCACCACTACGCACTCTTTAAAATTAACAAACTCTTAGCACACCTTAACACACATTTTTAGGCCTCACTTTTATCACTTTTTATCATATAACACACATTAACACACTTGTTTAGCCATCCCACTGTGGATGCTCTAACACCAAACAAATATTATATGCATGTCCTACTTAGGACCATGCAAAATATCATTCAATCCGCTAAAATCACATCGATCCGTACCCATTCGTATCTTCTTTTTTTTTGATTGGCAGGCTTTATCCGTTAATTGTGGTTTAAACTTTAAAATTTATAATCTGCTTTCTAATTGCTCTGCTCCTCTATAGTTAATACATATATATTTTTTAACCTCTAATAAAATATCAAAGTAAAAATGAGTGTGAAAAAGATTTAAGATATAAAATTTATTATAAATTAGTAGTTATATGTATGAAAAAAATTATTTAAAAATAATTTGTGTTATATATATGAAAAATATTATACAAATTAATATTATATATAATGTAAATACTTGATAATTGGTTAAGAATATTCTTTAATCCACTTCAAACTGTCAAAATCATAATTTGTCAATCTGTTAAACAGCTATTTAATTTTTAATTTTATTCCCAAACTGCCTGAATCTCACTACGCATATCTCTATTTCTACCTAACAACAAACAACAATTCTTATAGATTGGACCTAAAAATGCTATGCTTGATTTCAAAATCAGAATCAATTTTTTTAATTTGTTAAGAAAATATACACTAAAATAATATTTTAAAAGTTTAAAAATTAGTTTTTCTTAAAAAATATAAAATTAATTTCTAAATCAATTAATTTCTAATTTTTCTTAAAAACTTAATTGCTAATTTTTTTAAAAATTATTTAAAAATAAATTGTGAAAACTAAATCAAACAATTATACTTGGCCACTTATTATTATTTGTTAAATAAAACTTAATTTTAACATTTTCTTTGAATTTTATTACATTGATTTGGCTATATTTAAGGAGCAAGGATCCTCTAGAGTGATTTTTCTCTAAAATTTCCTAGAGTGTTACATTGTGTGGTTGAGATTTACTGACAAGTCACATCAATTTTTCTGATGTGACTTGTCAATAAATCTCAACCACACAATGTAACACTCTAGGAAATTTTAAGAAAATTTCACCTTAGAAGATCCTTGGTGATATTTAAGCACGGGTGTGTCGTAGCTAATTTTAAACTAAAAGATGCTCATTGCTCACATTCTACTTTTCTCGGTAAATGGCCTGCGTTTCTTTTCTTCACACGTAGCATAAGCCTTTTTCTCACTCGTTCTGGTCCACAAATTACGAGAATCACTTTTGCCTGGCTCATCATGTGAAGAAAGACGTCCGCTTTATCAACGGGTCGTGGATTTCACGACCCGCTCATAATCCAATAAAACCAACCCACCCACCCGAACTACATCACCCTCCTAATTCTTCACTTTAAAATGAAGCCAATGTACTTGGTGCAAGATTGAGTTTTTTTATTTTTATTTTTTTAAGACAAACGATAAGATGCTAGTAAGTTAGTAAATTATGGCTTAATTTGGGAAGATTAAATAAGTGTACTTTTTGACTTTTTATGAATTATGGGTTGAGTTTGGGTTGGGTTTGAAGTGATGTGTTAGAGAGGTGATATGACTTAAATAAGATAATATGACTTAAATAGAATAGTGACTTTTTGACTTTTTGTCTTTTTTCAATCATGCCAAACTTGGCCTATATTACAATGAAATGATTGTGGTTACTCCATTGATTTATAGGGCTGAGTAAAGAATTCGTAAAATTTGTAATCCGATTCAGTTCAGTCCAATTCAGTAGGTTTGAATTGATTTTTTGAATCCGTAGTTCAGTTCCAGATTGAAAAATTAAAAATCCGTAGTTCACGGATTGGTTCCGGATTAGAACCGATCCGGACCGTATACAAATAGTCTATATTTTTATTATACACCCTCCTGCATAGTATCTTCTCTTATTTTATATAAAACTTAAATCCAAACCTAAACTCGTATAGTATCTTCTTTTATTATTTTTGTTTGTTAGTTTTTAATGTTAATTTGTAATGGTCTAAATACTTATGGTAGAACCAGTTTTCTTATGGTTATTTAAATTCTAGAACAGTATGTTGCTATTATGAAAAGACATCTTATTGTGAAACTAGTATGGTGCTATATTTATATTTTTATGAAATTAAAGTGCTATATATATATTTTTGTTATTTAATTATGTAAATCCGTGGTCCTAAACCGATCCAATCCATATTTAAATGGATTGGTTCGGATTGGTTTCACGATTTAAATGGATTGGATTAGTTTCAATTTTTCAAGAACCGTACATAACGGATTAGTTCTGGTTTTACCCCAATCCGGACCATACTCACCCCTATTGATTTAAATCTTGAATTTCTAACATTCTTATTATAGATTGATGGTGTTTGGGAAGTGAGTTTTTATGTAGATTTTATTAGATGTAGGTTTTTATGAGATAAAATTTTTTTGATGTTTGGGAAGATAGTTGGGGTTTTATGTGGTTGGATGTGATGTTTGTGAGAGAAAAAGTGAAATGATTATGGAGTTAGATGTGATATTTTGTTTGGATGTGTTTTTTTTAGTTTTGCAAAACTTTTGTCTTTTAGTGAAAAAAATGAGAAAAAAAATTTGGGAACTTACTTCCCAAATACCACCAATTATTAAACCAATTACTCTATTTATAGAAATTGAGTTTGTTTACTGAACTTTGTTTAAACTGGAAGTAGGCAATTAAAAAATATAGGTAGGTCAAAATTTTGTGGCTCAAATGGCTCAAATCTGTCAAAACGACGTCGTTTTGACAGATTTTGAGTGTAAAACGACGTCGTTTTGACAGATTTGAGCCATTTGAGCCACAAAATTTTGAGTTACCAAATATTTTCCATAAATAAATAAATAAGTAAACTTTTTTTTTTTTAACTTTCAAAAGCTATTTTTTGATTATGTTTGGTGCAATTTATAAAATAGTTTATTATTTTCGTATCATGAAAATATGTCTTAAAGTATTTAACGTAATTTTTACTTATGAGACAAAAATATCTTAAAATAAATGTTAAAGAATAATTATCGAAAAACAGAAAAATGATAGTTTTAAACTTTTTGATTTTTAAAATTTTAGTTAGTAATAAATTGTACAAAATACGTTATTTGAACTAATTTAAGTTATTTTCTACTAAATTATAAAAGTTAAATATTCTAATACAAAATTTTGAAGAAGAAAAAAAGGGGATGACCAATTTCGGCCTATTTTCTTTTTTAAAAAAAAAAAAAAAAAAAAAAAAAAAGAAAAAAAAGAAGAAGAAGTTAATTGATTGATTTATTAACTTATTTGCATCATATTATTTTTTTATTTTTTTTAAATTTTTTTTTATAAAAAAAATCAATAAATATTAAATAAAAAAAAATCCATTTCCCAAAATAAAGCTAAGTTTGACATAACACAAAAAAGTCAAAAAGTCGAAAAATCACTATCCTATTTAAGTCACATTATCTTATTTAAATCACATCACATCTCTACTACGTCACTTCAAACCTAACTCATATTTCATAAAAAATTAAAAAATACAATTATTTAAATCATTCGAAAAAACTCCTTATAAAACCCGCACCAAGGTCGCTTTGACAACTTTTAAGTTACTTCGTCTTCATCGTTCACTGCTTCACTACCTCTGCTTCACTACCTAGAGAGAGAAAGTAGAGAGACAGAGACGGAGTCGACCTCTAATGGAGAGTCGCTTCGTCATCTAATCAACCCACACCTTCAAAATCAAAACAATCGTCAAGCGCAGATCACACACCAATTCTCACAAAAAAAAAAAAACCCTAGAAATCATCACCACCACCACCAACAACAATGGCTTCTCGGAAGCTCCTCTCCTCTCTCCTCCGATCCTCCTCTTCTTCAATTCGCCGCTCTCTCTCCAAATCCCCAAACCCTAGAGCACCGTCCACCTCCCGCCCCTCTCCGGCGGGCTACCTCCTCTCCCGCGCCGTCAACTACTCCACCTCCGCCTCGGCCCCGGCTCCGCCGCCTCCGCCGCCGGCGAAATCCGGTAGTCCGAGCGGGAAGATCACGGATGAGTTCACCGGCGCGGGATCGATCGGGAAAGTGTGTCAGGTGATCGGAGCTGTTGTGGATGTGAGGTTCGACGAGGGGTTACCGCCGATCTTGACGGCTTTGGAGGTTCTGGATAACTCGATTCGGTTGGTGCTTGAGGTAGCTCAGCATTTGGGTGAGAATATGGTGAGGACTATTGCTATGGATGGGACTGAAGGGCTTGTTCGCGGACAGAGAGTGCTCAACACTGGCTCTCCTATTACTGTAAGAACTGAACTCTGTCATTTGCATTTTTACTACACGTAAAAAATGTTTTTGTGAAGTGATCTTACTTGGAATATGCTTGTTTAATGGTAATGTGGGTCGGTGTAAGTGGGAATGGTTGTAATCTCGGTGTTGATGGCTTTAGATTCTGTTTGTATAAATCCGATTAATTAGTGCTTTGTCTTGATATTGTTATAAGTCGTTAACATATCACCCGTGATGTATTGAAATTTATCTTGAAATTTTCTTATTGGGTTGATTGAAGGTTTATTGGGCAAATTATAAAAAAAAATTCAGGATGTTCGTAAAAAAATAATTCCTCAAATTTTAATTTTGTCAGTTGAAACCTAATTAAATTTTTTTTTTTAATCTAAACTATCTATCTATTTTGGCTCGCTAAGGAAAATCATTAAAAAAAAATATTTTAATCATTAAATACAAAGAAAAAAAAAAAAGGATATGTTAGACATTTCATGGATAATTAGGTTGAGTTTATTGGTTAAAATATTATTTTTCTATCAGTTTTACTTAATGAAAATAAATAAATAAATAATTTAGATAAAAAACAAATAAAAAAAATTACAATTTAAATTGAAAAAATCAAAATTGAGGGTTTATTTTGTTGCAAGGGTGAACTTTTTTTTAACAATTATCCCAAGTTTATTTTGTTTGACTTATCACAGTGGGTTTGCTTATTTTAGTGTATCATGTTAGACACTTGGGATGTGTTTAGGGAAAAAATAGAATCATGCTGCAACTGAACTGATATTGTATTATCCCAATTTTCAAGATATGTTGTTTGGTTGGCAATATCTATTGTATATTTCATCCTAAGAAGCACAGACACTTCTAATAAGGTGACGTATCCGTGTCGTGTCGTATCCGTGTCGGACACTGACACTCTTTGGACACTCTTAGGACATGTGTCTGACATTCTTCAAAACGTGTCCAATTTTTTTAATTTTTTTAGAGATCTAGACAGTCTTTGGACACTTGGAGAACACACGTATCAATCGTTTAAACACATGTGAAACTAATTATAAATTTGAACAAAACAACTTAAGATACAATAATAAAACAAAACCCATATAAATTTATAGGAATTAGTGTCATATTGTATTTTTTATTATCTTTGAATGATAAATTTATATATATATATATAACATATAATAAATATTTAAAATTATATATTTCATGCGTGTCCCTTACGTGTCCTGTCCTGTATTTTTTGAAAATTAACGTGTCGGCGTGTCTATGTCGTATCCGTGTCATGTCACTTGTCCGTATCCATGCTTCTTAAGTTGTATATTTTGAAAATAGTTTTGGAGTAGAGAGTTTGAGATGATTTGATATTTTGTTGTAGTTGAGTAGATGTGCGTGAGAGAAAAAGTGATTGAGAATGAGAGAAGAGAGAGGAGAGAGGAAAAGTGATTAATTAATATGTAAGGGAAAATTTTGGGCAAAATTTTCCAAAATTTTAGTTAGTTTAGTGATTTTGGAAATTTTGAAATTTTTTTTCCAAAATCACTAAACTAAATAAAATTTTAGAAAATTTTCTCCAAAATTTATTTTTCAAAAACAAACCAAACAAGGCCTTGATCTTTGTATGCTTAATTCCTGTGGTGATGATGAAAGTTTACGTGGATATGTAGGTTTTATTTTTTGCGTAACGGTCAGTTTGATTTTGGTTATTGTACATTTGGATTGGGTGATTTGGAGAACGAAGAAAGAAAAAGGGAAAATTAAAAGTCAGTGCACCTTTTTTTTTTTTTTTTTTTTTTTAAAGAAAAAAGTTCAAATAAGTAATAACTTTATAAATATTGGTAATTAAATTCATAAACCTTTTCATTAATCTGTAAATATTTTGTAAAATATTTTGACAATCACCGGTTTGGATAGCTTTAAAGGGAGAGAGGGAACCCAAAGGGTTGTAGCATTGTGGTAAGGCTTTGGGGTTTAAGCCCCAAGGTCACAAGTTCAATTCTCCCCTTGGGCCAATCTCCTGAGCGAAGCACTGTTGGTTAGGAGGTTGGACCTCAAGTTGTCTAGTCAGCACTTGGTGTGGGTTCAATACTCCCCCGTTGTGCGAGTCCTGACTTAAGCGGAGCTTGTCTTGGGAGGTCGGGGCAAGTTCCCAGGTTATAGTTTTCTCGCTCGGAACGGCTAACAAGACACCTTGGTGATCTCTGTAAGGGGCGCTGCCTTGGACCTGCGGGAGGGTAGGGAAGATTTTCTTGTAACAAAAAAAAAAAAGAAAGGGAGAGAGGTGAAAGAAGTATAGAGAAATAGAGACAAACAAACTTCTTGGATCTTTTTAGAAAGTGGGGAGATTTAGAGTGAGGAGCAATTCGAAGTGAAAAAGATCGGAGAAGTTTGCACCTCTCATAATTTGTAAGAAGCATAGTTTTTTTTATTTACACCTCTTATAATAAAAGAATTTTATTTTATTTTAGAACAAAATCTATTTTACCTGTTGTCATATGATCCTAGAGCGTTTTACCCCCTTTGGTATGTCCTAGAGCCCCCATTGACTTTTAAAAATAGTCAGTACCTATGTGATTTGAACCAAAAAGCAATACAAACACCGTTAGCAGAAAATGTAAATTGACCTTTGTGCCCTTCTTAATTTTTGGGACATTTGGCGATGATCCTAATTTCAATAGCGACAAGAATCACCATGGTGTCTTTGAAGTATGAACTTAATTGTAGGAAGAAACCATTCTAATTATAAGGTTTTGTCATAAACATGTATGCTACAAATTTTCAGAAGTTATGAATCATATTTTTGCTTTAGAAAAAAACCTTGAAGCAATTTCTCTGTATATATAATATCCAAAATAAGCATTAATTATGGATGTAAATTAAAGTAGGTAAATTGCCTAATCATTCAGGCTGTGTTTAGATATTGAAAAGAAAAGAAGAAGAAGAAGAAGAAGAAGAAGAAGAAAGAAAGTGAAAATATTACTAGGGTTAGGGTAAGGATTTTTTGTGACGAAGATGAATGTATTTTGACTTTGACTTAAAATTTTTTTATCTGCGAACTTAAAATTTAGGAGCATGAGGTACAATTCCATTTTAGGGAGGTAAAATGCAAAATCACCAAAATTATTAGAGTCTATTTGGCTATTATTAAAAGACAGGGAGGCAAAGTGCTCTAGGGCCATACCACAAAGAGAAATGGATTTTGCCTTTTATTTTATGAGTGGTGCTACTCTAGCCTAAAAGTTACTCACTTTTCCAACCTAATGATGTGGCAGTCTATTAGAATATGTAAGGCAACTCTCTCTCTTTCTCTCTCTCTCATATCTTCTCTATTCATTATCCAATCATTTCTTTTACGCATTACTGGGTTTAGAAAGCGGGCTTCTATATCATTTTTCTTATTTTATTTTCTCCCCTCAAGCTTTACCAAACAAGAGGATATGATAGAACCATCTTTTCATCTCATTTTTCCCCTTCAGTTATCTGAACAAGAGGGATGGATAATAATCTCATTTCTCTTCTTTTCTTCTCTTCTCACCTATGTTATCTTTTATTCTCTCCAAGTTTCCCTAATGGACAAAGTTGAGGGAAGTATATTTGGGACTATTTCAGGATGTTTTTGATTAGTGTCCTGGAAACATGTTTCAGTCTTGGTTTGTAACAAACCTAGTGTTGGAGCTCTCTTGTGCCTAGTTTGCAATCGGTTTACATTTATTTTTATGCCGGTGGGGGTAGGGTTGTATATAACTAGAAAATGCTTTGGTGCTAATATCCTTTTGTTCTTTTTATTTTGGTGTTTAGGTGCCAGTTGGTAGGGCCACCCTTGGCCGCATCATGAATGTTATTGGAGAGCCTATTGATGAGAAAGGAGACTTAAGTAAGGAAGCAGAAATTTCTGATCATGTTGAATAGTTGTTGTTGCTGTATTTTTTTTGGGATATGAATTTCTTGCTTTGGCTGGAGACCGTTACAAACATTTTATCTTCAATTGTTGCAGAAACAGACCACTATCTGCCCATCCATCGAGAAGCTCCTGCCTTCGTTGAACAGGCAACTGAACAACAGATCCTTGTTACTGGAATCAAGGTATCTCAACTTTCCTCCTCTTCTTTCAAAAGATCTGCATATCCCATCTACTAGGTGTTCTATATAATGACTGATTTTTTCTTGTTGCAATGTTTTTCAGGTTGTTGACCTCCTTGCACCTTACCAAAGAGGTGGAAAGATTGGGCTCTTTGGTGGTGCTGGTGTAGGAAAGAGACGGTTCTTATTATGGAACTTATAAACAATGTTGCGAAAGCCCATGGTTGGTTCCCTGTAAATGTATTCAAAAAAATTGTGTTTTATATTGTTACTTTAATTTGATTGTTTCTTTTTACTTTTATGATTTTTGGGTCCCCTGCAACTGCAGATGCATTATATTGTTACTGTAATTCGTTTCTTCTTTTTTATTTTTTGTCTGGCAGGAGCTATTCCTTTAACAATTGCCACGACTTCTCTTTTTTCTTTTTTTTTTCTTCTCATTTTTATATTTTTACTTTTTGGCATTAAATGTTGCATATTTTCGTTGTTAAGGTGGTTTCTCTGTTTTTGCTGGCGTTGGAGAACGTACTCGAGAAGGTAATGATTTGTACAGGGAAATGATTGAGAGCGGTGTGATTAAGCTTGGAGAAAAGCAGGTCCATACATACACTTTTATATTTATTTCTTTATTTTTTTCCCCAATTGATCGCTGATTTTGTCAAGTGCTACTCCCTTGTGGAATGATTCCTTTTGTTTTTCCATAAACCTTAAATTTTCCCATGTATTTTAGAGTGATAGCAAGTGTGCCCTTGTGTATGGTCAAATGAATGAGCCTCCTGGTGCCCGTGCTCGTGTGGGGCTTACTGGGCTAACTGTGGCTGAGCATTTCCGAGATGCTGAGGGGCAAGATGTGCTCCTCTTCATTGATAACATTTTCCGCTTCACCCAAGTAAGAACTGCCTGATATCCAGTTCTTCTCCTCCTTGGAAACATAATGATTAATTTGTGTTGTCTTATAGCTAATGTGGTCGTTCCTTTTTGTTTTTAACACTGCAGGCTAACTCAGAAGTGTCTGCATTGCTTGGTCGTATCCCATCTGCTGTTGGTTACCAACCTACCTTGGCTACAGATCTTGGAGGCCTTCAAGAGCGTATTACAACCACCAAGAAAGGTTCTATCACATCTGTCCAAGCTATATATGTGCCTGCTGATGATTTAACAGATCCAGCTCCGGCTACCACTTTTGCACATCTGGACGCTACAACTGTGTTGTCCCGACAGGTACTCGTTTTTCCTTTTATCTGAAGCAGTGGAATTAGTTTCTTTTTGTTCTTGATTGTTAACTCAAATACTGATTTTATGTGGCCAGATTTCTGAGCTTGGTATCTACCCTGCTGTGGACCCCTTAGATTCTACATCTCGCATGTTATCTCCCCATATTTTGGGAGAAGAACACTACAACACTGCTCGTGGTGTTCAGAAGGTTCTTCAGAACTACAAGAATCTTCAAGATATCATTGCCATTTTGGGGATGGATGAGCTTAGTGAAGATGATAAGTTGACTGTTTCTCGTGCTCGTAAGATCCAACGGTTCTTGAGCCAGCCTTTCCATGTTGCTGAAGTGTTCACTGGAGCCCCAGGAAAATATGTAGAGCTAAAAGAGAGCATTACCAGTTTCCAGGTAATAAAAAATTTGTGATGGTTTTGCAAATTTGCCTTATCTTATGAGGACATTATTTAGATATTGTAGCTAGTCTACTCTCTCGATTTTTGCATTTGTTGTGCACATGTTATTTTGAATTAAAAATTAGGGCAAATTGCCAATACCCCCTTGAGGTTTAGGAAAAAAAGAGATTGTCTCCAAAGGTTCTAGAAATTACATCTTGTCCCTTGAAATTTTAAATCACATTACAATTTCTCCCCTATGTTGGTCCACTCCACCAATAAGGTCAACTAACGGATTTTGCTAACATCGGCACTAAAAAATTCCAAAGTCCCAATTTTGATCCAAATAATCCATACCCAAGCCCTCACTGAAAACCAACCCTAATAACCCATACCCAAATCCAAACTCAGGGAAGGGTACAGAGTGATAGTGAGTGGGGTCAGAGCAGTGGCGGAGGGAGTGAGGGACTGGGGGTTCATGTGCCCCCGGATTTTGGGATGTTTTTATTTTTTTGTTTTGCAAACATAAAGAAAATATTTTAAATAAAAAAATTACAAAAATATTTTTAGAGTGAAATGTCAATGACATTTTAAAAATTATGAGAACAATAATGGTTATTTTGATTGAAAATGAAGAGATTACTATATATCATATTATCTATGAAAATTTTATAAATTTTTTTGAATGTAATGATATGTGAGTATAAGTAATCTCATATAAAAATATGAAATTTATTGGATTGTTAGTTACATTTGACATGTGAGGTTTTCTCTATATATTTATTTACGATTAGTTGGTGATATCACATACTAATGATGACTTGGTATTACCATTATATTAAATTTTTAATCAAATTTTGTATAAAAAAATAATTTATCTTTATATAATTTATTTTACAACTTATATTCATATTTCTTTTGTATTGTTCATGATACATTAATTACAAATAACATTATTTTTTTTATGTTTCTCGAAATAAATCGTAAAAACTTGCGTGAAATATTTTTGTAAAAATTTCGATATTGTAATTAATAAGTGTTTCTTCTAATTTAATTTTTTGGCTCCGCCATTGGGTGAGAGGGAGGGGGTGGTGGGTAAAGGTTGGACAGAGTGATGGGGCTGGGGGATTGGCGGCTAAAGTGGTGGTCGTGAAACTGGTGGGAAACAATAATTACTATATTGAACCATTTTCTCGTGTTGTTTTCAAAATCATTTAACCCGACATACACATGGTGATTAATGCAGGGAGTCCTGGATGGTAAATTCGATGACCTTTCAGAGCAGTCATTCTACATGGTTGGTGGCATTGAAGAAGTTATTGCCAAGGCTGAAAAGATTGCCAAGGAATCTGCTGCTTAATCTGCTTCTCTGTTTTTTTTGTTTTTGTTTTTGTTTTCTTTTTTCTCGAGTAGCTTCAAAAAGATCAATAATGCAATTGGCATTGGTCATGCCAACATCGAGAGTTGTATTATTTTTGACACAAAACAGTATTTGCATCTCATTCGAGGTTACAATTTTTAAACTGATTGAATTGTGTTATCAAGGATAGGATTAAGGCAATGCCAGTAAGTACAGTAAAAAGAAACTCGGATGTGTTCATTTGATGGGGTGGTATTGATGAAATTTGATTTGTGTGTAGCATTATACTAGGAAGAACTAATAATTTTCCCTCAGATGTGGGAAGATTAGTTTAAAAAGATATTGATCATATCTTCAAAAGGAGACTAATGTTAAATATAAAATTTAAAAACAATACTTTAAAATTAATAAAAAAAAAGTACATTGTTTTAAAAAAATACATAATTAAAATGTTATTTTAGTAACTAAGGCAAAGATTAAAAACAACACAATTGAGTTGGGAGCAAGTAAAAAAAATTAAAAATTAATTAGAGAGTAAAATAAATAAATAAAGAGTAATAATTGAGACCCCTACCCCTATAAGATCCTTTCAAATCTAGACCACTCAAGATGTGGACTCCACACATACATGAGTAGGTCTCACACATACATAGAGAGCCATGATCACTTTGGGGGTGTAGGGGTCATCCCCAAAGGAGTCCCCAACATTTTCCATAAATAAATAATCATATTTTTTTGTTTGTATGATTCTCTTCTTTTTTTATTTTATTTTATTTAAATATATAAATATTTTTATATATTTTGCCACTACTTCCTCCGCCCTCCCTTGCCACCTCCATCACCCTCCACCGACTGTTTTATCAATTCCAAATCCAATACCTCAGATGATCCAAACCGTAATTACCAATACCATCCAAAACACTCTAGCCTTTCCCTTTTTCTACCTAGCACATCTTTTCCCCCCACTAATTCCTGTCATTATCTTATATTCTCACTTCGCCCCAATCCCTTTCCACTTTACATGACACCCTAAATGACCCAAACGTTAGTCATTAGAACCTCTCAAACCCTCAAGTTCCTTCCCGTCATAGTCTTATGTTCTCTCTCGTTTCTATTGTAAAAACAAGTATGTTGCAAGTCCTATATGTACACAGTGCAAGTCCAACTTGTGTAGGGTAAACCAAACCAAACCAAACCTTAAGTCCCATCAAATGAGGTCAGCTGCATGAATCTTTTTTCTTCATTTGATCTGTCAAATTAAGGAGATTCATATATCTATTTACTATACTAGTCCATATTAATCTAGGTCTACCCTTTTGTAGACGCGCCCGAACGTCCCGGGAAAATCCCGTTTCGTTCATTGGGCTCACTATAGTTCGGACTCAAATGTCACGGTTCTTAATCTGATCTCACAATGTGCAATATGAGATTGATAAATCACCAAAGAGTCCAAATCCGACAAATCGTTTTGAAAAACTGATTTTTAGAAAGAAGTGCTAAACATGGACTGCTTTGCCAAATACAGAGTCACCGCCTAAATATTTTATTTTTGAGAAATTTAGGAAACCCTGACTCATGCCTAAGGCCACGTGTCCGTCATCACCAAAGTTGCCTCGGCTCGGGAACTTGGGTATGAGAGGGGAAGGTCATGCAATGAGCACCCCCGTTCGCCCGATCAAAGATCGGCCTTTACTGACATGATATCTTATTTTTAAAAACACATGTGCTCTTATTCCGGTTATTAACCTAGAATTACTATGTGACGCACACAGCATACAAGTATAGACTGGATCGCCTAAACTGGAACAAAACATCTCATGTTTGTTTTTGAAAGCGGTCTGCTACTCGCAAGTATGCTAAAATGCGGATTTTGCCACCTTCAAGTGGGCTTAAAGAAAACATGGTGATTTGCCACTCCCAAGTGGGCTTAAAACTCGCAATCAATGAATTATTCCAATTCAAGTAATCCAACCTTCACCCACAGGCATTCAGGCAGTTATATCACATAAGCAGTTAGCCTCATGGCAAGCATGCTATCATGGTAGTCACTCACACACATGCAAGGATGCTAAAGCATAAACACTTACCGAGTACTCCGAGCCAAAACAAAAGCTATGTTAGAAATCAATGCATGATCCTAATGATACAAGATGCCTAATGCAACGCATGCAAAATGCAACTAGAATAGGCTCGGCTAGCTAAGATGACATATGAATGCAACACTCGATAACATGTTGTTAAACACGTATTCAAGTAAGTATTTGAAATACAATGCAGTTTGAATGATGCGCCGAGCCTGGTGCATGCAAGACAGATGAATGGATGCAAACATGCGAGCATAAGGATGCTAATTGAAACATGCACTAAAACTAACCATCGTAAGCTGGTAAATAAAAGGGAGAAAGAAGTGGAGGTTGGAAGGCATGCATCACACACACGCACATTTATTTACAACAGTTTTGCCCTCTCGACGGAGGGTCCGAATGAATAAAACAGAACCAACTAGCTAACCTAAGCTAATCTAATTAAACTAGTTATTACACAACAGAATGAATAACAAGCTGCATCTAATTATTACACAACTCTAACCAATTAACAAATTAACAAAGTTAGCAATTAAATAAGCATGCAAACTATGTGAAATGGGCTACCTCAGCTCTGCCTTGGATGATGAAGGATGCATGCATGCCCGAATTGCCTTGCTCGAAAATACATCGCGATGCCCCGACTTGCCTCTGTTTGCAATTGATCTCAGAACACTGCACAAAGCTCCAGAAGGCTGAAACTCCACCAAGCCACCAAGGGAACCTATGGGAAGGCTGCCGACCAGTTGTTGGCTTTGGAGACCACCTGCCGACCACTTTTTGTGGTGAAAACCAGAAAAAATGGTCGGCCTGCTACTTTATCTGGCCGGCCGACCAGTTTTTGCTTCTGGTTTCTGGTTTGCTGCAACAGAGAGCAAGAAAAGGGCGTGGCAAAGTATTTGCAAAACATGTATGCACAACCATCCTCCCTATCATTACATAAGCTCAAGAGAGTATAGTTCTCGACCCTCGGGCCACCAATCACGCATCTCAATGCATGATGGCCGAGGAGCCAAATTGCACGACTTCATGTGATATGAATGCACGCACGAACACATAAAGCCCAAAACTCCATTATGTATAGTCAAGAGTGTTGATGACCGGGAATCGAGGCACGTTTCATCACTTCGAGTATGAAACATCCCTCGTTTCCCGTGTTTGGACTAATGCCTATTCCAAACACAATGCAACAAACATGGCATACCCAATGCGACTCAAGCGTGCAACTCGATGAAATACAACTAAACAAGAATGCAAACAACATGCAAGGGACATGCATGCAAACATGCAATGCAATGTAATTAGCATACTCAATGCTAATGGCATGCACAATGCACAGTGCTAAGAACCACATGGCCCACTCAATGCAATGTGACATGATTAACTTAACAAAGCTAATGACATGCAAATTATGCTAATGCATGCATACTCAATGCAAGACAACATAAGCCTGCAACAATATGAACAACAACTAGCATACACAATGCGAATGGACATGGCATACACAACGCAATGAACCATATGGCATACACAATGCTCGATGGACTTAAACCAAAATGGACTGACCTTAGTCATGCCCAAATCAGTGGCCATACATGTTAAGATAGAAACTCAAAATGCTATACAAACATGCATGCATATTGGCCCAAGCTCAAGGCACAAAATACAACTCTCCAAAGGTATTGAAAGGATGAAACATGGAGTACAATGACATATGTTCCAGCACTGAAATGGCATGCAAAATGACTTAGAATCATGCAAACAACCCATGTAATGCATGTTGAAAGGCTCAAGCATCGAAGCTAGTGAAGTGTATTACACTAGAGGCATGCAAGACAATGCTCAAATGGCCAAACCAGCCCCAAACAGACCTTATGCAGGCCAAAACAGTAGCCAAAATGGACTGAGATGATGGCTTGAAAGGCAAGAAAATGAGGCTCATGTAATGGCTCACAAACAAGGCATAAAAGTGCAACTCTCAAACACATTGAAGGAGTGATAAACATGAGAATATGACAAAGATATAAGCTCTGAAATATCATTCCAAATGATGCTAAATCATGCAAATAGCCCAAGCAATGCATGCTAGTGGCTTGGAAACTCAAGGCTAGTGAGCTAAAATGCACTATGGCTATACAAAGCATGGCATGCATAACCAAAACAACATAAATCAGACCTTAAGCATACTAAAACATGAACAAATTCTTCTCAGAGCAAAGCCAAAAGCATGCTAAAATGACATGTCGAAGCATGATGCATGTTAGGCTATTTCATGGAAATGCACTACAAGTGCATGGAGCATGCATGGAGCCATCAAACCAACCCAAAATAGAGTTATGAAATGTCAAATGATGGCCGAAAATCCACTGAAATGGAGCCAATACATGCTAGAAAGACATGCTACTTTGATGAGCCACAAATGAGATTACACTACACATACAAGAAGCATGCAAAATGTGATCAAACCAGCCATGGACAGAGTCAAGGCAGGCCCTAGAAGTCACAATAAAAGTGCCTGAACTAAGCCTCAAAATGGTAGAAACACATGCTCCTTTGATAGGCCAATAATGCAAGCAAACAAAACAAGAAGAGAGGGGATCAACCCCCTCTGATTTGAGGCCTCAAAACCACATGCCTACCACTGAAAATCCACTGGATTTCAGTGGTTAAAAGGCCAAGTAAAGACTAATTCAAAGGCCTCAAGGCATGGCACAAAACAAGGCCAAACAAGACCTAAGAGGGGGTGGACCACTCCCAATGCAAAAATGACCTTAAACAAACATCACAAGGACTGAAAAATAGAACTTTTTCTAGTAGAAAGTTAAGCTCAAATCAGCATGCAAATATGGCTAGGAGAGTAACCAAAAAAAACAAAGCTTAAAGAGGAGAAAAGGGGTTACGCTTGAAGCACTGTAACAACAGCAATTCCTCCAGCCCAAAGCCAACTCTTATGACCCAAAAACCACCTCCAAGGATCTCAGCTCAAATATGGTGGTGTGTGGCTAGGAGTTGTAGTGCAAAAGTGAAGGAATAACACTCTTTAAGGCACAAAATATAGAGGGAGAGAAGAATTTAGAGAGGGAGATGTATCTATCACTCTTAGCAAATTTTAGAACCTGTGGAATGGAGAGGGAGGCTCTTTCTTATAGAAAAAACCAAAG